CTCTCCGCTCAGCAGGCGCTCGCTGACCCTGCTCCAGGCCTGCGCGTGGTGAGCCAGGCCAGGCGCGCTCCTCTAGGAAGCGGCACCTGCCTTCTGGGGGAGGTGTCTGGGCCTAGGGATCAGAGGATAAGGGATGCGTAGGAGTGAGCCTGGCAGAGCGGGAGATGAGGTTTGGGGGATGTACAGTCTTTTTGAGGGTGTAAGGGAGGGCTAGGGTACCAGCATGAACGTGATAAGAAAGAAGGTAAGAGGCAGTGCACCCAGTGTAGCTACGATGAAACATACAACTGCCCTCTAATTCCTATATGCTTCCTATCCCCGACTATCATGATCCCAATTCTACCTTACAAATCCGGTTAGACTAGAGTGTGTACACTGGTACAGATAGGAACTGGAAACAGGGAATCCAGGACGGATGATCCCTTCCCGACCAGTGGTGAGAGTGGCGATACCAGGAGGGTGGAGGGAGCGTGGGGTAGAAAGGGGGAACTGATTATAAGGATCTACATATAACCTCCTCCCTGGGGTCAGACAACAGAAAAGTGGGTGAAGGGAGTTGTCAGACAATGTAAGATATGACAAAATAATAATTTATAAATTATCAGTTCATGAGGGAGGGGTAACAGAGAGGGAGGGGGGAAATGAGCTGATGCCAGGGGCTTAAGTGGAGAGCAAATGTTTTGAAAATGATGAGGCAGCGAATGTACAAATGTGCTTTATACAATGGATGGATGTATGGATTGTGATAAGAGTTGTATGAGCCCCCCATAAAATGATTTTTTAAAAAAAGAGGCAGTGCACCCCTCATTAGCTTCAGCCAGATTTTATCACTGGTCCGTGTAGCTGCCTTTGGTGCCCCTGGGCATCTGTATGTTTTACACAGGTGCCTAGGGAGGCTGGTAACCCAGGCCTGGCTCATTCTCAATGAGCCTTTCCACTGGGCCAGACTGAAGGATAGATTATCTGGGGGATCGGTAGGTAATCAGGGACTCTAGGGGTCCACAGAACAATTGTGTGGTCCCTGCTGCTAGGGAGCACACACTCGGGGCCTCTCCACCCCTAAGACCGTCTGCGGGCATGAGAAAAGGTCCCCCTCAGCCCCACCTCATCCACACCAGAGTGCAGGGTGCGTTAGATTCAGTCACCTGTCCGTGTGCAGATCCCACCATGCACAATCTTCACCTTACAATGCTGTGTGAGAACACTGACTGCTAATGAACCAGAGGGGAAGGGGCCTGGAGTTTAGCCCCAATGCTTAACCCAAAATGCCACCAGAGCTCCCCCCCAGAGGGCAGCCTGTGGCAATGGCCGTGGCCACTCAGAGTGGAGTCCAACAGCGTGCACCCCCTTTCCCCTTTTATCCTTTGTTGTGCGGTTGTTTAACAAGCATGTGCCAACCCTGTGCTGGGCCGAGGAGGACAATGAAGTTGTGTCAGAGATCATGCAATCCTGCCCAGGGAGGTCCCTGATTTGTGGGGAGACAGACACATCATTAGACAGGCTTGTCTGTTTCTACTGCATTCCTGGGCCGAGAACCATACCTGGCACACAGTAGGTGCTCCGTCAATTTCATTGTATGCATGGCCCAGGTGCCCTCAGAGTCCGGGTGAGAGTTTTCTTTGGAAATCCAGGGGTGGGCAAGGCTGGTATGTGTGAGTTGGCCTTGGATGAAGAGAGGACAGGAAATCACCGGGGCAGCAGAGGCTGGGTCAGCACTTCAATGTCCACCCGATAGATGAATGCCTGATGCGTTCTGAGGCTGAGCTGTCTTCCCTTTGCCCTTCACTAAAATTGACCCTTCTACGAGCCATGGAATGTTCACAGTACTCCCATCAGGTCCAATTTCTGGCCCTGCCATTTACCAGCCCAAACCTGATACCAGGTGCAGGTGATGCCCTGAAGAAAGAGATAAGGTGACAGTCTATCTGCTGTCAGCATGGCGTACTGTCCCTTCCAAATCTCTAAGTTCTACCTCTAGGGCCACCAGAGACCCAGCAACTGTGGCCAGCAGCTCCCCCGCCCGCATTCACAGAGATCTCCCTTATCTAGCCCCCAAAGATGGAGCTTCAGACTTGCCAGGCCATGTTCTCAGTCTAGAATGCCCCTGCACTAGCTGGGTCCTGTTTTTCCACTCGGTGTTAGTTTACAAACGTCCTCCTCTAGAAAGCCTTCCGGGCTCTGCCTCAGAAGTCCTGGCCACAACTCTGGGCTCCCACAATGCTGTCTGTCTGAATTTCTGATCACAGGGAGCTGTTGGTGGGTGCCCCATCCAGCTGGGAGCTCCTCGGGTTAGAATCCTGGATCTTGGAGGGGCCCTTGCTGGGTCCCAGGGATCACTTGTTAAAGAGGTGTAACAGACACATTCTCTCCGGGGCAGAGTCGGGGGGTGGGGTGGGGGGAGTCCCCTGGGGCGTAGCTTCCAACCCCACAGAAGTCTCCGTTCCTTCTGCCCACCCCCTGCCTATCTCCCCTATCTGAGCTGTGGCTGAATAAGACTTCATCCCTGCCCTTGAGGAGCTCTGGTCTGGGAGCAGAGTAGACTGGAATAAACAGTGATAACATGGGCTGATAAGAGCCCCGAGGAGGGGCTACTCAGGGGCATCAGCTCCCCATCCCCAGACACTCAAGGCTGTGTCAGGAGCCCGGCCAGGGTCAGAAGCCAGCAGTCAGTGTCCAGCCCATCCCTGCTGAGCTTCAAGGGCGGAGAGGGAGCCCATTACCCACTCCCTACATTGTATGCAAGTGTAGTCCAGCTCTCCATGCTGCTTGGGAGCCAGTTGTTAATTTCTCTTTGTTGAGATCTCTGATTTTGTGTCTCCCTCACCTTCTGAGGAGCCCTGGTGGTGTAGTGGTTACATGTTGGGCTGCCTGCATGGTTGGCAGTTCGAAACCACCAGCAGCTCCGCTGGAGAAAGGCTGCACTTTCTACTCCCGTAAACAGTTACAGTCTCAGAAACCCACAGGGGGTTGCTATGAGTCAGCATTGACTCTAGCAGTGAGTGAGTGAGTGTGTGAATGAGTGAGTTTCTCCCTGGGCTAGGCTGTAAAAGAGGGATTCTATTTCATTACGTGTACTTTATAAACATCCAAACTGCTTAGGCTTAAGTCACTCGCTAAATTTGTAACTTGTGTTAGGAGTTACTTGAACGCTAGGCCTCAGTTTTCTCATCTCTAAAATGAGGGTGGTGGTACCCAATAGTATTGTTGTTTACCACTGTGTAACAAATTACATCTCAAACGTAGCAGCTTTAAGTGGTAGTAAACATGTCGCACCCCTCACCTCTGTGTGGGTCAGGAATTTGGGAGCAGCTTGGCTGGGTGAAAGGAGCCCTGGTGGTATAGTGGTTGTGGGTTGGAGTTAGCAGTTCGAAATCACCAGCCACTCTTCGGGAGAAAGACAGGGTTTTCTACACCTGAAAGACTTAGCGTCTCAGAAACTCACAGGGGCAGTTCTACCCTGCCCTATAGGGTTGATATGAGTCGGCATTGACTCGTGGCAGTGATTTTGGTTTTTTTTAGCTGGGTGAAGGAGCCCTGGTAGAGAAGTTAGAGTAGTTTTGCATTGGGCTCCTAACCATAAGGTTAGCAGTTCGATACCTCCCGCTGCTCCATGGGAGAAAGAGGTGGCCTTCTAGTCTAGGTAGAGGGTTTTAGAAACTCCTAGAGGCAGTCCTACTCTGCCCTATAGGATTGCCTTGGGTTGGAATTGACCTTGTGGCAGTGAGTTTGGGGACAAATTCAGAGTGCGACTAGCAGGAAGCAAAAACCACTGCGGCTAGTCTTGGGCAGCGGCTGCCTAGCTTGAATGTTACAGATGTTACTGCTGACAAGGTGCTCACAAGAGTGTCTGGAATTAGGTGCCATCAAGTCCGTTCCAACTCACAGCGCCCCAAGGTGCAGCAGAGCGGAGTCCTGCACCATCCTCACCATTGGGTCCGAACCCACTGTGTCAAAGTACATGAGGCTAAGTCTCCCATCCCACATACATTTGTTTGGTCTTCTGGAAATCCACGGCGACGCTAATATCCTTCGCCAACACTAGGGACCCTGGGGGCACTGTGGATATGACGTGGACGACTAGTCAAAAGATCAGTGCTTCAGGCTCAGCAGCTGCTCCCATAAAATCCTTGGAAACCCTCTGTAAGGTCACCATGACTCAGTAGCAGTGAATTTGGTTTGGTTTTCGGTTTGCCAATACTATAATTCAAAGAGCACCTTAGTTAGGAGCGCCTTAGTCTTCAAAGTACATCTTGGTTCTTTAAATACTTT